TTAAAAAAAAAAAAAAACAGGAAAAAAAACCCAAGTGTACGTGTTTCAAACCTGATGGGCAATCCTGACTCAACAGTACACAGCAAACAACAATCCTGACTTTAGTCACAGTCTTTCCAATCACCTACTACATATCTGAGAGCTAGACAATGAATAAGGATGACAGGAGAAGAATCAATGCATTTGGGTTGTGGTGTTGGAGAAGAGAGCAGAATATCCCATGTATTGTCAAAAGAACAAATGGATATGTTTCGGAGATAGAGCAAACCGAATATTCCTTGGAGGCAAAGATGGTGAAGCTTCAACTTGCTGTTTGGACATGCTGTTAGGAGAGGCTACTCCTCAGAAAGGGACATCATGTCTGGAAAGGTGGAGGGTCAGTGAAGGAAAGGAAAACTGTCAATGAGGCAGATTGATACAGTATCTGAGGCAAGGGAATCAACTGTGTTGAGGATGATAAAGATGGTGTAAGGATAGCACAGAATTCAGATCAATTGTTCATAAAGTTGCCATGAGTCATACTTGACAGTATTTAGCAAGAACATTCTAACATACTGCAATTGAATCATGGAGCTTGGAAGAATTACATAAATTTTCAGTTTCCAGAACAGGAAGGGGGGAAAAATCAATCTTGGAAGAAATGCAACTCATATGTTCCTTAGAATCAAGAATGGTAAGACTTTGGCTCTGTTTCTTGAGAAGCAGTAGAAAACACCAATTGCTAGAAATGGATATCATGTTTGGGGAAATGTTTTTGTTTTTGTTGTTGTGTATCATAGCGTCAGAACCAACCCATAGCTGACCCTCTGGCAGGTTTTCAGAGGCAGTTAATCACACAGGAGGAGATTGCCCACCCTCCTCCTATTGGTAAAATCAAGGACCAATGAAAAAGAGAGAAACGTTAAATGAAATGAATGGATACAATGACCACAACAATGAACTGAAACATGCCAATGATCATTAAGATGATACAGGACTGAGCAATATTTTATTACATATCTCTGTGTGGAACACGCATTTCAGTGCTCTGCTACTAAACCAGGGATTATTCATTTGAACCCACTCAGGCACTCCAGGCTTCAGAACACAGGCCTGGCAATCTGCTTTCAAAAGTTTGCCTCTTTGAACATCCTATGGAGGAATTATACTCTGCACCCCAGGGGTCAACATGAGTTCAAATTGACTTGACTACAACGAATAGTACCAACACTTTATTTAACACATGTGTGTCGTCTAGACTTGGAGTTGATTCTTTAGCACTTTGGGGGGAAAAAAAATCACAAAAAGAAAAGAAAAGGGAAAAAATCACACATATTAGAGAAGGCTCTGGGGGGCAGAAAAAAGAAAATGGAAAAATAGAGGGGAAGGCGGGGCAAGGGAAGAGGGTTACATTGACCAAGGAGAACAGTCTATCATTAACTCGTTCTGGATTACCATTTGCCTCTGGGATAGAGTTGAACTGTCCTAAAAGGTTTCCTAGGCTGAAATCTTTACAGAAGCATATCGTCAGATCTTTCCATTCATGCAGAGGCTGATGAATTTGAACTGATGACCTTTCAGTTAGCAGCTGCATACATAACCACTGCTTCACCAGGGCTTGCTATCACAAACTAGGGTATATTATTTTCTAAACTCTGCACTTGGGGTAAAAAATGAAAGGCATGATTATTTGAACACTGCTAGATGTAACTTGTTGCTCCTGTGTTTGAGTGTTTTGTTGTGACTGTAAAAAAAATGGAGAGAAACAGAGCTCTAGTTTCAGGAGTGAATTTTAGCAAGAACATCCTATAACATAGGCATCTAAATGAAAATAAGGGCAAGCTCATTTTTATTAGATAGTATTTATTTTAGCTAATCTGTTAAACCCAGAAAAGTGAAGAGTTAAGAATTAAGTTCAGTGATAATGGTACAAGTTTTCAGTAATTCTGAATTCCCATGGTCACTATGTACATGAGCATGTTTTGCCAAAACGATGTATTGCAATAAACAGTGATGCTAAAATGGGGTTGCTGAACCGCGGTCTGCCCAAAACATCCAATCTGGTATTCATCTTCTTGGGGAAGGAGATGCAGTGCATTTAAACCCTTTTACCTTTGTCTCTCTCTTGCTCTAGTTTTCCAATCTCCAGAGAAAGTTTCTGTATCTCCAGGGCCGTTTTTGAGTCCCAAGCACTTGGGAGACATTGTAAAAGGTTTTGGCCTGCCAGGAGGATTTCACGATCTCCAGGGACTTCCTGAAAAAAGAAATGTTAAAAGGTGATCTCTGAGCCTCTCCCTTGAAGTCCTGAGCTGCTCTCAGGAAGCCTCATGACTGAAGATGAAGAATGACCCCAGGACTGATGGATGGTGAGGAAACTAAAGGGGGGAACGGGCAGAACCTACTTAGCAATGTATTTTCTTGACATCTGAATTTGTACCCTTCTTGGGTGGTATTCAGCTAAAGCAAAGAGAAAGTAAAGCTGAAAGAGAATCCTTCCGAATATTCTTGAAAAGCAACTGGCTTGTCAGCCCTGCCAACTAACCACAAATGGAGCAACATGCTTCATGTACTGGAGAAAATAAGACTGGGTAGGGGGAAGAGGGAGTCTTTACATGGGCAGACGGTTAACATTTACCTATGAACTTAAAGACTGATGGCTCAAGTCTATCCAAGAGACATATTGGAAGAAAGCCCTAATGATTTTCTGAAACTCACAATTTGAAATCCCTAAGGAGCACACTTCCAATCCAATACCTGTTAGTTCCCCATGAACTGGATTCAGCTGGGGGAAAAGGGTTCAGAACATCCAATCAATGAAATCTGCAGGCAGAACTAGGTCATCCTGCCATCAAATAGGTGCAATTTTGCCACTACCGTAGCCTTGCCACGATGCTTCGAGACAGAAATAACCTGAAGTCCCTGTAAACACGTTAGAAATCAACTCCAACATTTAAGTATATCCTTTGAGGGCAAAGCTTATTGCCATTATTTCTATTCCATGGACCATTCCATTTCTCTGTAATTGATATTGAGACACACCACAAAATGCGTTGAATGGAAGCTACTCACCCTCTCACACTTGGGCACTTTTGGGCTCCAGGATTTGTTCTCTGAGCAAGAGATACTCGGGGAGCCGATCATCCTGTAGCCAGGATCACACTGGACACTGAGAGTCTCAGGGCTCATGTACCGATCCTTCTCCACAGATAGCTTTCCATTTGGTACTTCTGGCTTTGGGCACAAAGCTGTAATGAAAACATATTTTCTTAGCATCCTATGTATCTCAGAGAAAATGTTTTACAATATTATTATGTAATGAAAGAGATAAGAAATATTGTTGTATCCTACTATATCTTTCCACATTACTGCTTCCAATACTGTTGTTATGTGCTGTCGAGTCACCTGTGACTCATAGCACCCTATGTACAATAGCCCTAAACCCTGCTCTATCATGTGCCAATCTCACTGTCTCTGACACATCTACCCCAATAACCCCAGTCACTGAATCAATCCATCTCATCGAGGGTCTTCCTCTCCTGTGCTGTTCTTCCACCCTCCCAAGCATGAGGTACTTCTCCAAGGACTGGTCCCTCCTTGCAACATGTCCAAAGTATGTCGGACAAAGCTTCAGAATCCTTGCCTCCAAGGAACAGCCCGGTTTGACCTCTCCATGATGAACCTGTTTGTTTTCTTAGCAGTCCATGATATATTCAATACTCTTCTCCAACACCACAGCTCAAAGGCATCAATTCTCCTTCTATCATCTCTAGTCATTGTCCAATTCTCTGATGCATAGCCAGTGATTACAAAGACCATGGCCTATACCAGGTGCACCTTAGTCTCCAGAGTGACACCATTGCTCTTCAGTACTTTGGAGAGGTCCCTAACAGCAAACTTTCCTGTTGCAATACGTCTTTTAAGTTCCTGGCTGCTGGTGGCAAGAGTGTTGATTGTGGAGCCAAGCAAACTAAAGCTGTTAATCTCTTCACCATCCATCCTTATGTTGCCAATTGGCCCAATGGTGAGAATTTTTGTCTTCTTGATATTGAGATTCAAGTCATATTGAAGGCTGCAGTGATAGACCTATCTACCAATAATACTGAAAATATTCACTCAGGACTTGCTATGTGTCTATGTACTGAGCACATTACATGTATTGTTTCATGAAAGCTTTCAACAACCCTGTGAGAGAAGTCTACAGTTATCCCTCTTGCAGAGAGAAAGAAATTGAGGTACAGTAAAGCTAACTACATTGTCCCAAATCATACACATTGAAGTGGCAGAATCAAACTTAACCTGGCAGCTAGGGGGAGATCTAATTCTTGATTCTGAGCTCTTCATGTTTACACCCTAGAATCTCTCGCCTCTCTCAGTTTTTGCCTGTGTACAACAGAAGTGTCAGTGACAGCTCAATCACTGGCATTTCTGTGTGTCAAATGACGTCAATAGTCTGCTTGGGGACAGTTTACATACTTGACTGTAATAGAAATTTGATTAAAAAGAGGTTAACTTTACAGAAAAATTCATTCAAAAAGGGCTGTGACCTGAATTAAGACCCATTGGTGTTAAAACAACAACAACAAAACAAAAAACAAACAAAACCAACCAAAAATGAAACAAATAAAAAAGACCCAATGGTGTTAATTATTTGGTATCTGAAAATAAGCCATGACAGACACCAACTCTGGTTCAGTCACTTACCCACGGCAACTTGGCTTCTGACTTGTGGGGACACCTCTTTTTTTAAAAAATGACTTCATTAAAAGATGATTTTCATTCATTCATTGCTGCACATTCTACCTCCTCTTCCTTCCTTCCCCTTGCCCAGTTAATATTTTTTATATTTGTTCATTGTTGCACAATTACCTCCCTTTCCCACCTCCCCCTAGTCTTCTTTGCAAAGTACCTCTTCTTTTTTAAAATTTTTTTTGTACCTCTTTTCTGAGTTCCTTCCAAACTCTTGGACAGTGGTCTTCCCCCTACTATTTCCCATCACTCTTTAGTGAAACAACTGACCCTGCATCAAGTTTGTGAGTCTTTACTGGTGGAAATTGCCCGACTTTCTCATGTGGATGGGTTGAAGGAACCAAACCCTCTTTGAATTACCAACCCAATATGTTGCATGCTCTACTATTCCCTCATCAGTATTCTGTGCCCCAGGAGCTTGACTTACCCTTGCACCGAGGAGCAGGAGATGACCATCCTGTAAATACGCAGGAGATAGTAGTAGCTCCTACCAGAACATAACCTTCATCGCATTCATACTCTATTTCAGTAGTCAGGGATATGAATTTACTAATATCTTTATAGCGCCCATGTGCAATTCTGGGAGGAGAACTACAACCTTGAAAGGTGAGAGAGAAAGAAAGAAAGAGAGAGTTTGGGGTTTGTTCTTTTTCTGATTCATTAGGGAAAATAGCATAAAACTAAGAAATGTCATTTTCTGGATTGTATCCTTCCCAATCACTCCTCTGCCTGAGACAACTTCCACAATTCACTAAGCAGTGGTAGTCTGAAGGCTGAGTTAAGAATGTGACATTGTGTATACATATTTGGCAAAGGGAAAATTGGATTCTCATTTGTGGTTTTAAAAATCCTCTTAGATATTTTCAAAAGTATTTAATCTAATCAGCAAACATTCCTATATTCCTGTGCATTGTGATGTTTATTAGTGTGTTAGGTATTGTCTGAAGTACTTTACACATACCAATTTATTGTTGTTATGTGCCATCAAGTCACCTGTGACTCATAGCAACCTTATGCACAATAACTCTGAACCCTGCCCTGTTCTGAGCCAATCTTACTGTCTCTGACACATCGAACCCCATTACCCCAGTTACTGTGTCAGTCCATCTCAGCCAGGACCTTCCTCTCCTGTACTATCCCTGCACCCTTTCAAGCACGATGTCCTTCTCCAAGAATTGGTCCCTCTTGGCCACATACCCAAAGTGTATGAGATGGTGCTTAAAAATCCTTGCCTCTAAGGAGCAACTTGGTTTCACCCTCTCCAAGACAGAACTTTTTGTTCTCTTGGCAGTCCATACTATATTCAGTGATTTTCTCTAGCACCACAACTCAAAAGCTTTGATTCTTCTTCTATCATCTTTAATCATTGTCCGGCTCTCTGATGCATAGTACAAAGACTATGGCCTACATCAGGTGCACCTTAGTCTCTAGAATGATATTGTTGCTCTTTAGCACTCTGGAGAATGCCTGCTGGCACTTGGAGACACCAATTGACGTCAATTGATTATATTTAAAAAAATCTCTACAACGTAGACATTATTATTATCCCCACTTAGAAATGAGGGAAGAAGCAGAGAAAAGTTAAGTAGCTTGCCCAAAGTCACGCAACCTGTGAGGAGGAGTGGAGTCAGGATTAGAACCTATGCAGTCTTGCTTGACTTAGCCTTTGCTATTAGAAACATACTGTGTCAGCTAAAAGCACACCCTATATGGAGTCAGCTAGGACCTTTGTGTAATAAACTTTAGCATCAGCAATAGGGGAATTAAAAAAACAAAACACAAAACAAACTTATGCAAGAAGCATTTGTGATAAACATTGTTTTGTGAAAAGTAGTAAGGAACTCTCAAAAGGAAAATTCCCATCTCCTTTGGGGAGGTGGTGGGGGTGGAATACTACAACACAACAAAATGACAAATCTGCCCCAGCTCCTGCATGCTAAGGCGTTTGGAAAATACTGTAACAGCAATTCATTGCTGCTCATAGCTGACTCTGCAGCAGCAGCTTTTCAGAAGCTGTACATTTCAAGGGAGGAGATTGTCCGTCTTTGTCCTGTGGAGCAGCTAGTGGATTAGAACTGCCCGTCTTTGAGTTGGCAGTGCAACTCCTTGCCCACCATTCCCTTATAGCTATTTTTAATTAAATTTTTAGTAATGATTTTTAATGCAACATATATATTTTTCCATTTAATTTTTCCCCATTCATTCATTGTCGCACACTTTCCTCCCTGCCCACGCATCCCCCCAGTTTGTTTTTCTCTTTGAAAAAAAAATTCTATCATTGTTATACAATTACCCCCAGTCCACTGTCCACTTTAATATGCATTTCTTTTTCTGTAATCTTGTCATGAAAATAATATCTAATCCTATATTCCTTTAAACAGTTCTCTCCCTCATCTGTTTCAATGCAGTTTACATTATTTATTCCCTTTTCCTAGGTTTCTTATAGCTACTTTTAAGAAACTAATTATTGCCTCTTCTCTTAGTATTGAAAAAAACATTAAAGCCATGAGAGCTGATAGAATGTTACCTGAATATCTTAAAATTCAGGCTAGGGGGTTGTTCAGATAAGATACCACGTTATGAAGAAGAAGGAGAGCCTAGTAAATAAAAAGGGTTCTAGTTCATTGCGAGTTGCACTTGTGAATGCAAGAACTTGGTGTCTTGAGTAGTTCGAGTGCATCAGTTTCTCTGCAGGAGAAAGAGAACCCCATGGAGAGTAAGTATGAGTCAGAACCCACAGGCAGTGAGGCAGTGAGAGAGAGTAATTATTTAAAAGATCATATACCTCCGATATAGCTAGATACTTTACATGGATCCTAATCTGAACAAACTGTTACAAAATGTTTATGAAATAATCCCAGAAATTTGAAGACCAAATGGAAGAAGTATTAATCACAGTATTGTGTTGGTGCTTTTGAAAAGAGTGCTTATCTTTTAGAGATAAATATTTAACTATATAGACATATAATTATATATTTAAAATTTCCTTAAAAATACTTTGGGGTGGGGAAAATAACAACAGGTATATAGATAAAACTAGATTTTGCAGTTTAGAATTTTCAAAGATGTATACACAGATGCTTTTTATGTTTCAAATTCTTCAAAAAGGAACGGAGGGAAGAAAGTATTAAACGCAAATTCATTGTCATCAAATCAGAATCGACTCATAATCTTCCACTGGGTTTTCAAGGTTGTAATTGCTTCTTTTTGTCCCTCAGAGGTGCTGGTGGAGATCATCTCATTAAAAAATCAATGTTATTTCAGAAGTACTAACTTATGTAAAATGTCACTAAAGGCTTCGTTCACCTTATTCCCTCAAGATTGCACATGTAAGCAACAATGCCAGAGAGCTTGCTAAGCCTGGTCAGTGCTGACTAGTTTATGGAAATCACTTACCAGAGTGCAAGATTTAAACCTTTTATTTGCAAAGTGCTTTACGT